GTGATGTGCGAAATTAGAACCTTACTCTTAGTTAATATTTTATAAGTATTACAATTGTTCCAAATTTTGGCCCTTTGTGGGGGAGGTACCAGAAGGAGTGGTCCTATATTTTCTATCTTTACACCAGGTCTTGTATTATTAGGAATCTTTGATGATTTAATGCTCAAATCACGTTTTATGCCTGTTTTGGTTATTCACAAGAAGGAAGGGGCCGATATCTACCATCTACAAAGCAGATCTTGTATTGGGAGGATTATTGGGATGCGCCAAATTTGAAAGGTATCGGATGCTCATTTCGCGTTTTACAAGTTTTGTGGCATAATAAGAATAAATAAATGACGAATATTATTGCGAAAATATTCTGGAGGGTGTATCAAAACCTTGGGTTTTAAACATTTTGGCTTTGGACATTCCAACAGGACTCAGCACCATCGCACTCAGTATGCGCCCCCCCAAGAATAGATTACAAAATGAGGTTCCTCGGTTCATTTCCTGCGCACAATGGCCACCAAAATCTCCGAATACCAATCCGTTGGACTATTGTGTCTGAGGTATTTTGGAAAGCAAGGTTGGCACTAAAAAATACCAAAGTGTCGATCACCTCAAGCAAGCGCTTCGCAGGGAATGGGCCAAAATACCGCAGAGCAACATTCGGGCTGCGTGTGACGGTTTCATTGGCCCTTTTAAGGCCATAATTCGTGCCAAAGGTGACCAATTCGAACAAATCTAAACTTTTTCTGAAATTTGATACTATTTCCGACATGTTTTGCATTGTTGTAGTTTTTTTTTTATCTCACCTTGTATACCCTCCTTAGCCATGAGGGTATAATTCATCAGAAAGTTTCAAAAAATGTTGAAGAGGTGAGAAAATGCTGTCTTTATTGAGGTTAGCTTGCGATGTGAACTTTCAAAACCGCGCTTATTTCTTTTTTTAGCTCTACTTTGATAATATGCTGAACTTATTCGAACTTATTTTTTGTTAAGGGTTGTCCTACTCCCGGATCTACAAAAATACTGAATGAGATTTAAATCATTTAGAAAATGTGGTAAAGACCCATGGATAATTTTTTTCTACGAACTTAGACCATGCCGCTAGAATAGTTCCAAAGTACAGGAAATGTCCTTTTGATTAATTACCATCTTCTGTCCTGTTTTACCTACTATTGAGTCGAAATAAACACGCAATGGAACATGCAAAGGTATTGCTTTATTGAGAATATATTTTGTAATAATATAAAAACCATTTTCTATACCAAACAAAAAATTCTAAGACTATTTGATTAAATTATAATTTTAAATATTTAAATTTCATATTGAAATTGAAACAACGGTCAAATTTTCCTTTTTTGTTTATTAACATTTTCTTTTCTAATTCTACTTTGGAAACGCCCTTCTCTCAACAGTGATGGGCGGGTATTTTCCCAACTGCATTGATATATGGTTCTGCAACTCGAGATCTTCTATTTTGGCGGTGGTTGAAAATTTGTAACGCTTAATTATCTTTGCTATTGCCACCCGCTGCGTCAATTCCGCATAACGCAGTCCTGAAATATGAATATATTAAATATTTATGTACACAACTTGCAACTAGACTATCTCACCTATACAAAAACGCAGCCCCTTGGCAAATGGCACAAAGGCATACGGATGGCGCTTCTCGGCGTTGGTCGGTAGAAAATTATCCGGATTAAATGTGTCGGCCTGGGGACCCCACACATCTTTATTTCGATGTAAATTAAAGGTATTTATTACGACTTCTTGCCCCTCGGGTATAACCACACCATTGCTCAGTCGGAGATCACCACCAATGACGCGTCGAGAAAACAGAGGAACTGTGGGAAATACACGCAGTGTCTCCTTTATAAACATATCCAGATAGGTAAGCTGGCTGATATGGTTATAGGTGATCTCAAACCCTCCGCTGTCGTTTTCGGGAAACATTTGAAGTATTTCAGCGTAGGCTTTTTCCTGATACTCAGGATATAGGGCCAACATGAGAATTGCGAAATACAATGTTGACGATGTGGTTTCAAATGCCTGGAAGGTAAGGAAACGATTTTGTTTGGTGATAATGATGGTTTTGTTCCCTAAAAACACTGTGCGACATAATTTCTGGGGGAAATTCGGCAGATTATGAAAGTAGAGCTAAAAAAAGGAAACACGTGTATCGGCGTTCGTAAAATTTACATCGCAAAATACTCTAAATAAATGGGGCAAATTCCCACCTCTTCCACACTTTTGGAAATTTTTGGATTGAGATTCCTTGGATTCCTTCGGCAATAATGCAAAGAAAAATGTACGAAATATTTAGCAAATGTCAACTCTTTTGGTCCGTTTCCTAACTAAAATCGTGGGGTATCATTATTTAAGGCTAAGGCTATATTGATATATATGGAGGGTATATTAAGTTCGTCATCGAAATAATAGTTTTGGACCTACTAAAGTATTTATATTTTCTTGGCGATTCAAAAACGAGTTAACCTTATCTGAGCGTCCGTCTGTCTGCTGTAATCACGCTAGAGTCAAAACGATTTATGATAAGAAGCTAAAATTTTGCATTTATCTGTCTTTTGTCTGCAGGCAGGTAAAGTTCAAGGATAGGCCATATTGGTCTACGATATTGTTAACCCCCATATATCGGTACCCCCCGATGTTCGGTATTTTGATGATTTCAGACACATTTTTCATAGGAATTGTCTGAAATTCTACACAAGTAGTTCCCCCTGGAAGAGAATTGTCAATATGGATCGTGTGTCCTCCATATAACGGTAACTCCCGATATTCGGTATTTTGATGATTTTAGTACAGCAATAGAATTGTCTGAAAATCCACACAAGGAGTTCCTTCTGAGTACTTTACCCTCTGAAAGATAATTGTCAACATAGGTCTAGTTTTAGTATAGCCCCCATAAAACAGTACCCCCGATATTCAGTATTTTAATGATTTTAGCGACAATATTTACCGGAATTGTTCCAAATTTCGTATTTTAAGTTCGGAATCGGTATTACAGCCTATGACAAAAAATTACTTATACAGGACCACGTCTTCGCATAGCCCCAATATAACAGTTTTCATTTGAGCGGTATTTTTTTGGCTGATTTTTTTTTTTAATTTTTCAAGTTTTTTTCCAAATGATAGAGGGTATTAGAATTTCAACCCGGCCGAACTCAGCTCCTTTTTTACTTTTTTGTAAATAGTGTTTTCTCATAAAAAAACTAAGAGGAAAATAAAAAAAAAACTTTAAATCGGAATTATACTTACAAGGCGAATATTCCAAAATGTAGACCTATAGAACCAATTGTCTGTATCAATGATTCTGGATCTAAACCAAACATCTGTATCAAATTTTAAAGCTCTATCCTAAATATTGTTACTATGGGAGGCACTTGGTACATCGTATCTTAATCTCAAACTTAGGTCGAGTTCGGAGATGGGCATCCACTCCTTCTGGAATTTCCCCCACAGAAGTTCGGAATTTCAAAAAAAAAAATCCAAATGCCCAGAAAGAGAAAGGATTTGCTCCAACATTGCAAATCGGAATATTTGTATCAGTCCTAGGTCAGGACTGAAATGGACAATATCGAAAATGGACAATATCGTCCACTCCATCAAGATGGAACATATCAGTCCGCTCCATCTGATATTTCTTCTTGCACAAGACCAATGAAATGATGAAATATATCGGACCACTATTGGTACCTCCCCCACAACTATTTTAATTACTATGAAGCTAAAAAACGCGAAATTAACATTCGATTCCGTTCAGACTTGGAGCATCTCAATATTTCCATCAAAATAAGATCTATTATAAAGATGGTACCTCCCCCACAAAGGATCAAATTTTTTGAAGATTTATAACTGTTATAAAATACGAAAAAACATCCGATTTTCTTCGAATTTCCCAAATTCGAATATTTTTACTTATGCAGGGCCAGGTATGAAGATGATAAATATCGGCTCATCCTTCTGGTATCTCCTCCACAAAAGTTCAAAATTTTGAATAATTATAATTCTTATAAAATACTAAATAGGCAACCGAATCTCTTCAAAATTTCACTTTATCCAATATTTTTACTAAAAAAAAAGACCTGGTGTAAAGATGGAATGTATCGGTACAATCCTTCTGGTACACGACTCCCCCCCATAAACTGACAAAAATTTTGAATTAAGCAACCTTATCTCTTCAAATTTCACATATCCCAATATTTCTATCAACAGATAATCAGGTGTGAAGATGATAGATATCGGTCCACTCCTTCTGAAACCGTGTCAACGTGTCAAAATTGTGAATAATTATAACTCTCATAAAAAGCCGAGTAAGCATCGGATTCCCTTTAAAATTCAAACATTCCAATATTCTTATTAACACAAGACCTGGTGATATCGGCCTACCTCTTCTGGTACCTCCCCCACAAAAGGTCACAATTTTCAATATTTATACCTCCAATAACTTGCGAAAAAAGTCAGCGATTCGTTTAAAACTTGGTAACATAAGATCCGATGTGAATATAGAATTGATCGGCTCACTACTTCTGGTACCTGGGGGCCACAAAAGGTTTAAGTTTTGGATTTAAATGTTAGATACTCATCCCAATATTTTTTTTCCGTATTAGATGAAGTGGAATGCTTCGGTTCACTGTATATGGTACCTCATGTATATTTCAACATTTTCCAAAAATTATCACGAATCTCATAAAATTTGATTTAGCCCAAATCTGGTACGTTGCAACATATATATCAGACTTAGGTCAGATACGAAATGGACAATATTGGCCAATTCTTTTGGAACCTCCCCCATAGAGGGACAATAATTTGAGTTATCAAATTAAATAAACGAACCGTGGCTTGAGATATACATCTGTTTGAGATGAAATTTTGCAAACAATGTTTGTTTGACCCAAGGACGAACCCTATTGAAATTGGTGATAAACGGATCAGATTTAGATGTAGCTCCCATATATCTTCAACCGATATACCTAATATAAGTCCAAATTTCCTGTATTTTGGTACATCCCACCGAATTCAGACTATAAGCAAGTAAATCGGATTTGTTTCATATATAGCTATAGCTAACATATATATGTTTCATCCGATTTGGTGTTTTAAGTCCCTCACATGCGTAATATGCTCCCCAGGAGAATGATAATTGGTTCCAAATATCAGATACAGCTCCGAAATAAGTGTATGCATTTTTTTCAAGATAGGTTCAGATTTAGATATAGCTCCCATATATCTTCAACCGATTTCGGGTATATTGCGCACTTAATGGCTAATTTAAGTCCAAATTACCTGTATTTTGGTATATCCCACCGAATTCAGTCTAGAAGCAAGTAAATCTGATTTGGTTCAGATATAGCTAACATATATATGTTTCATCCGATTTGAGGTTTCAAGTCCCTCACATGTGTGATAATATCGGATGCAGCTCCGAAAAAAGTAATCAAATTTTGTCAAGTTCGGTTTAGATTTGGATATAGCTCCCATATATATCCTCAACAGATTTCGTGTTAATTGTGCACCAAATGACCAATATCAGTCCAGGTGACCTCAATTTTGGCGTATCCGACCGAATTCAGACTAGAAGCAAGTACATTAATTTCGGAGAAAATCGGTTCAGCTATAGCCATGGCTCCCATATATATGTTTCATCTCATTTGGTGTTTAAGTCCCTCAAATTCATAATATTCATTCGACAAGTGATATTTGTACAGTCCAGAAATTCTTTTGCCAAATTTGATTAGGATCGGTTCAGATTTGGATATAAGTCCCATATATATCCTGAACCGATTTCGGGTTAATTGTACACTAAATGGCCAATATCAGTTCAAACGACCTGAACTTTGGCATATCCGACCGAATTCAGACTAGAAGCAAGTACATTAAATTCGGAGAAAATCGGTTCAGATATAGCTATAGCTCCCATATATATGTTTCATCCGATTTGGTGTTTAAGTCCCTCACATCCGTAAAATGCATTCGACAACAATGGTATTTTGTACCAGATATCTTTTAAAGTTCGAAAATACCTTTGCCAAATTTTATCGAGAACGGCAAAGATTTGGAGATATCTCCCATATATATATCCTAAATCCGATTCCATGTTTATTGTGCAAATAATGGCTAATATCAGCCCGAATGCGGTGAATTTCGGGACGTACGTTTTCATTTTGTGCAACTCGGCTCCGATATATATTTTTTCTAATATAATCCTCCTCCAAGTGTTATCATGCACTCTATAGCAAACTATAACTGCTCTAAAGCCAAATGTTGATAGATGGTATAATCTACTTGAAATAAATTCTTTTGTTAAGGGAGCTCTACTAAATAGCGGTGTAGGGTATTATCTAGTCGGCCCCGTACGACATTGTCTTTTCCTTACTGGTTTAAAAATAGGACCAAAAAGACGCCTTGCGGGTTAACATTTTTCCTCAAAAATATTTCTCGTATGTTTATCTGCAATATTGCCGAATACACTATATACCTAAAATACACGGTCTCCGAGGAATCTTAATCTGAAAATTTCCAGAAGTGTTGAAGAAGGGGGAATTTTCCCCCTTGCTTACTTTGCTATGTAAACTTTCCAAACGCCGATATACGTATCTTCTTTTTTAGGCTCTAAAAAAATCATTTCAGTTGCACAGTGTTATGTTTGATTTCCATACTACATACCGCACCGAACAAATGCATCGTATTTGATAGGGCCAGATCAGCATCAATCTTATTATTTTCTTTGGCTTCAATGACATGGCGGGCGACAATATGCTCCACAGTGTTTACATACTCCGGAAGAGTTCCAGATTTTGTCGAATGGTACGTAAATGCCTACGAATAAGAAGAAATGATTGAAGATTTCTTTCTCCCATCTCAGTAGAGAACCCTTCTAGAACTTTGTACTTACATCATTAATTACCGATCTTAAAAATTGCAATTCTTTCCGATGCTGCTTGTATATTGTTAAATCGGCTAGTTTGAGAATGAATTTCGATTGATAGTACACGGTAAATGTTACGTCCGATATATATTCCATCATGCTATATGTATAATTCGAAGAAATCAAAATCGCAGAAATAAGTATAAAAAACGGCATTACACTCATGTATATCTCAGAAGTTTAATATTAGATCTTACCTTGCTATAAAGTTTGCATAGTGTTTTATATCAATTGTAGATTTATCAAGATCAAGTCCCAACATTGTCTCTGCCAAGTAGAAAAAAAAGGAGCTCAAAATATTTATTTTTCCTTAAAAAAACGCAGTAATGATAACTCACCGCATGTTATGCCAATGGTGTATTCTCGACAAAACGTTAAAATTCTATAGGAATCTTTCATAGCATGGCATCCATCCAGTTCCTCAAAAAAGCCCGACATTCGCCTATTGAAGACGGGTAAAAATCCCAGAACTTTGGAAAATTTAAAACCTGGATCCATTTGTTTCCTAAGATGTTGCCAATCCTTTCCTGCAAAAAAAGAGACACGATTTAATGATTTCTTGGCTATTTGATATGTCTTACCTTGTATGGTCAGTAGTCCTTCGCCCAGGGCATGACGTAGTCCACCATATGTCAAATAATCCTTGTGTATACACAATTTCGACATTAGAATATCTTTGACGATATCCGGATCTCCGGTAACATATTGCGGAAATGGACCAACAAAATTAATGAAGTTTTGGCCAAGCTTTTTACAGTTTTCGACACCATGTTTAACAATGGCTAAAGAATAGATAATTAGAAAAAAAAAAAAACATGAAAATATTTAATTAATTATTGTGATTTATATGTGCGAATATTCATTTTCATATCTACATTAATAACAAGTAAGCGAAGGCTATAGACGTGCGGGGCCGAGCATGTGATACCCTACAACACTACAATATGTTAGAAGCCCCCTTATGTCCAAATTTTGGAAGATTTCGCTGTTGAAATTATGTCACGGTGCACAGCCCAGTTATTAACTTCAGCATTTTGACCAGGGACATTTGCCCAATTTTTACGCACTCCGTCGTGCTATTAGTTGTTGTGGTCCATTTTACAGCTAAATATAATCCAATGGTCATCCAAAATTCTAGAATTCTTTCTTGTCCTTAACGCTCTTCTTAGGCGTGTCGAATGGCTTCAATTGTATGATCAAGAAATTTTTTTCTGTTTTTGATTCATTTGAACCCCTAATATTTTGCGATCATCTCCAAAAGCAAGCTATATGATGTTCTTGTCTACGAATTTGGCTATATTCGGATATCACCTGTAAGTAATGTTGGTATTTTTCAGAGAGAAATAGTGGTCAATTCTACCCGCTGTCCTAAACCCTAACTTCATGTGAGATTTCGTGTTCTTTGGTTTCTATTTATGACCTTTATAACGGCTGCAAAATCAGCAACATTTTTAGTTGTTGGTCCATTTCAACCCCTAAATATATTGCGGACATCTTTAAAAACAATAGGCCTAGCCCTTCTGAGCCTAAGCCTACCCCTTTCTTGAGGATCGGACGATAATTGCAATCTGCATATAATATCCCCAAGCAGTGGACCACAAAAAACGGCTAAGTCAAATTGAAAAAATCGGATGCGATAAAAAATATGAAAAAAAAAAAAAAAAAAAAAAACTATAAAATCTATATTGACCTGTTCGTCTATTTTTTATTATGTCGAAGTTAAAAATATTTGCGGTTTAATCGAAAATTTGACTTTATTTAACACAAATGTTATTGTCAATTTCACCCACTAAATATTACCCGATGACCATCAAAATTGGAATGCTTCTGCCCAGCCCCAAGCGCCGTGCTACCTCCCGATTTGATTGGTATATAATTGCGACCTGTAGAGCAACTGCAAAATCAGGAAATTTTTCAGATTTTGGTCCATTTCAACCCCTAAATATTATGCGATCATCTCCAAAAACAATAGGGTTCTATTCTGGCCCTAACCCCACCTCCATTTTCAATTTCGTGAGGATTGGACCATAATGGTAGAGCGATTACAAATTAATATGGACAGACGGACAGACGGACATACATAGCTAGATCGATTCAGCTCGGCGAGATGGGAAGATCCATATATACTTTTCTATGTGGGAAACCAATATTTCGAGGTGTTACATAATTTTTGGCCCAATCAAACTTATAATACCCCCAACACATAGTGTTGTAGGGTATAAAAAGTAAAGCTAGAATCTAGAAATTTTAGGTGAGGGTCACTTTTGGCCCGAAGGAGTCAGATAGAATTCTAAAATTTGATATTTAGCTTAGTGATGGTATGGCTGTGGTTTAGAAATGCGTCCTATATTTGTACTAAATAATACTCTATTTGGTATTAGGTATATAATGCATAAGGCTGGAATCCTCAAATTTGAAATTAAAGTCTCTGTTGGTATCTGGAATGGAGATATAGAGTTCGTTTTGGGAAGGTGTACATTAACAGTGCGAACAGTGCTAAGCGGTACTGAATTTAGTATTGCGTTAAGAGATAAAACTGAAATTCTGAAATTTGATAAAGATGTCACTGTTGGTGTCTGTGTTTGCGGAATAAGGGTGTGTACTGTAATTGTTCGACAAGTTCTATGTGATACTAAATTGGGGACTTTACAACTGATGAGTGACTGATTGTCTAATCAAGGACCACAAAAAACGGCTAAAAAATTCTAAGACGATTTAGCCCTCTTTGTCCGTCCGTCAGTCTGCCTGTCCGTCTGTTGTAATCTCGCTGGAGTTAAAACGAATTAAGATAGCAATCTAAAATTTTGAACAGCGCAGTCTGTCGTCTTTGGGCAGATCAAGTTCGAAGATGGGCTATATCGGTCCTCGATATATTATAGCCCCCATATAACGGTACCACATTTTTCAATGGAATTATCTGAACTCCTACACAAGTAGTTCTTTTTCTAACCCGATCGCGTGTAATGAGGGTGCTTCCATTATAATTATTGGCATTATTCCCGCTATTTTCTGTCACAATCCCCATAATAAAAATCGGGAGTATGGCCGTTTGCTTAAGTTGAGTTTAGGGGCTATGCTCGGATAGACCTGATTTGTATACCCTCCACCTGCACCAAATTTGTCATTTCGTTTGTAACACCTCGAAATATACATTTTTAACACCGCAAAGTATTTATATTCTTGATCAGCATAAAATTCCATGTCGACTTAGCAATGTCCGTGCGTCTGTCCGTCTGTCCGTCCGTTCGTCCGTCTGTCTGTGGAAATCACTCTAGTTTCCAAACGAAATGAAGTAGGTTGATAAAATTTTTCTCAAAAGTATATTATGTCTGCAGAACTATTGGTATTGAAAATGGCCATGCAGGTCCACGTTTACCTCCCGATATTTTCATGATTTTAACAATATTTTTCACATTCATATTTCATATTTTCAAATATGGTATTTTAAATTCGTAATGGATACTACAGCCTATGACAGAAAATTATCTGTGCAGGTTCACGTCTTCGTATAACCTCCACATAATGGTACCTCCCGATATTCGGTATTTCGATAATTTTAGCGACATTATTCACCGGAATTATTTCAAATTTCGTATTTGAAGTTCGCAATAGATACTACAGCCTACGACAGAAAATTATTTATGCAGGTCCACGCCTTCGTACAGTCCCCATATAACGGCACCTCCCGATATTCGGTATTTTGATGTTTTTAGCGACATTATTCCCCGGAAATGTTTCCAATTTGGTATTTAAGGTTTGTAGTGGATACTACAGCCTATGACAGAAAATTGTCTGTGCAGGTCCACGTTTGGGTGGTACCTCTCGATATTCGGTGTTTTGATGATTTTAGCTACCATTCACCGAAATTTTTTTAAGTTTTGCATTTGAATATTGTTGCCTATGCAGGTATAGACCCTAACATATTGGCTACATTCGATATTTTTTAAGATTTTAACAAATTTTTTAACGGATTTTATTTGAAAATTGCCAAATTCGTTCCAAATGATGTAAGGTATTCAAAGTACGAGCCGGTCGAACTTCCTGCTTTTTTACTTGTTTTTATCACAGTTATATATTTTTAACCTTATTACAAAATGGGTATCCATTGAATGCTTATGGAAATATCTATTCAACAAGTGGTCATATGATGGGGTTATTACAACCACTTCCGGAGGAATACAAGGAAATTAGTATTTTGTACCGAAACATTTAGAAAACTCCCTAAAAGTTTGAAAATGGGCCCATCATTGGATATTAAGATCTACATACTACATTATAACCTACACTCATGCCTTTCCAAATCTATACCAAATGTAGCCCTGATATCTCTTTAGGTTCCGAAGATATTAGTGATAAAATCATGAAATTGAGATTTTCTCCAATAATATGCATTTAACCTTTATAGGTTATCTAAGTAGCACGACTTCGGCCGGAGCTTGAGATTTTTTCCTTTGAGGTATGTCCAACATCTGAACTGTACATTTTTGTACATTTTTTTCTCTGGAGAATGCGATTTATATATTTCCTTACCTTTTTTACTTTTGTAAATAGCCGGCTATAAGCCACTTCACTTCTTAAGCATTCAATTGATACATATCGGTTTTGTAGAATTTTTTCGAACTTCCGGGTCGAATAACCGGGTAACCGTTAAAATACCTACAGGTGGTATCCGATCATAACCCCTAAATTCACCTTAAGCCAAAATGTTAGATTGCAGACCCTGTATTTATGAATTCCTTGTTTAGTTAAGATTTAGACTTTAGATTCTTGGAATCTTAATCCGAATCTTAATCCAAAATTAAAAAAATTGAGAGGATGACCTTGCTCTCTCCGCTTGGGTGACTCTGCGATATAAAATTACAAAAAAAAAAACCGATACGCGTGTCTTCTATTTTAGATCCACTTTCATAATCCATGGAGTTTTTTCTGCATTTTTTTGTGTTGCACGGTGTAATTACAGCATTTATAAATTGTGAATTTATTTCACAGTTCTCTTCAAACTCCTCACAATGCAACATTTATGCAAAAATTTGATTTGATATAAAGTTGGTATTATTAAAGAACAATCTGGGGGCGCTTCCAGCAAAAGAACAAATAAATAAATAAAAAAAGGAGCAAATCCGGAGGATATATGTTTGTCGGTACGCCGACTGTTAACAGTCTTGTTTGCTTACACATTTCAAACATGATTGGATACACTACTTTCACACTTTCATGGCCAAAAATAGTTTTTGTCGGTTTAAGTACTACACATTTCATTGTTCACTGTTTGACTCCATTTTCATTTGCGATAACTTCCTTTGTTACGCTAATTTTTTTAACCACATATTCCACACTTTGTTGTACTTACTTTTCGGAGTCACAATTGGTCCAAAACCCAATATCATTTCCAACTTATGAAACGGCACTTTCCTGGCCATGCCGAATACATGGCGATGATTCCATCGATGGTGTAACCACAAGAAAATCAATAGAATTAAAACTATGACTAGAAACGGCTGCATGCTTCCAACACTTTCAATAAAATGTTCTCTCGCCAGAGCCAATCACCTCCTAATATAAACAGAATGTGATTTTCAGGTTTCCATAATTAAATGGATTTTCGTACAGCATTTGTTTTTTATGAATACATTTACGAAGATCTATTTATTATCGGTTATTTATCTGTCGCTGGAACGTTTATTTGCACATAAAAAAGCAAAGGTTGCAAAGTAAGAACTCTTGACATAGTTGAACGAGAGGTCTTCGCTAAAATGGCGAACAGTAATGCTTAAATATTTTATACAGATTATCTATCTAACACGTTGGGAATTAATTTTTTGGAAATTTAAATGACAGCATGAATATTTCAATGAATTATTTTTAATACCAAAGAAAAAAATGTTCTGCCTAAAATAAAGTGGGCACCCAGAAATATTTTAAAGGTGTTCCAAACCATGGTCATCATTTGTATATTGAGCCAATTTATACAGCCTCATGGTTTCAAAGTGTGCCACAAGAAAACACCGGATCTCATATTTTCTGGATGTAATTTGCCTTAGTGGGTTCTACCCTAATATTGGGTTCTATATCTTATTTAAAGGTGTAACTAGGTGTGACAAAACATATTTATTTGACTGTTATTGTTTTTGCGTTTAATTATGGGTTTTAAAATATCTGAAAATACTTGAGTATAATGGGGCAAAAAAAAAAAAAGAAAACTTGATAATTGAAAAATCGCAAAATTTATTGTTTGTTTTCAATAGTCGAATTAAATGTGATTGGACAATTGTAGCGGTTAGATCGGATAATAAATTTCGATGTGAACGTACTGTAAGGAAAAGAAGACAATATCTAGTAAAAAAAGCTATGATAAGATTCGCACATGTTGCAGATACTAATACCAAATTAAATTATAGGTAAAAAGGGGAAAAAAGGATTTGACCCTAGGCCTCTCTTGGACGAAATCCGTTTCGAGACATTAGGATTCTATCTAGCCTTGAAAGTATCCGATTTGGTTCATTTGGGCATATTTACCAAACTTAATCGAGTTGCGGCATGGGCAATATCGGTCCACTGGAAAAGTTCTCAAATTTGCAAAAAAAAAAAAAAAAAAAACTAGTAAAAAACAAGTAAGCAAAGGCTATACTCGTGCGGGGCCGACCATGTGATACCCTACAACACTACAACATGTTAGAATCCATTTTGAAAGATTTCGCGGTGCGCAGCCCAGATGTTACCCTCAGCATTCTGACCAGGGATATTTGCCCAATATTTACGCACTCCGTCGTGCTGTTAGTTGTTGTGGTATATTTTACAGCTAAATATAATTCAATTGTCATCCAAAATGCTAGAATTCTTCCCTGTCCTTAACGCTCTTCTCAGGCGTGTCGAATGGCTTCAATTGTGTGATCAGGAATTTTTCTCTGTTTTTGGTTCATGTGAACCCCTAATATTTTGCGATCATCTCCAAAAGCAGGAGGCGAATCTGTATCTCCAAATTTAGACTCATCTATATGATTTTCTTGTCTACGATATTTGGCTATATTCGTCAATGAAATCGGCATAAAAAAGCCAGAAGTTCGCCTTTTGTGTATTTCGGATATCGCCTGTAAGTAATGTTGGTATTTTTTTACACAAAAGTAGTGGTCCATTCTACCTGCTGTCCAAAACCCTAACTACATGCGAGATTTCGTCTCCTTTGGTTTCTATTTGCGACCTTTATAACGGCTGCAAAATCAAGAATATTTTTAATTGTTGGTCCATTTCAACCTCTAAATATATTGGGGACATCTTTGAAAACAATAGACCTAGCCCTTCTAAGCCTAACCCTACCCTTTTCGTGAGGATCGGACGATAATTGCAATATGCATTTAATATCCCCAACCTGTGTTGTAAGGTGAAAAAATATTACAAAATGTACACCTCAATATTATAAGTCAAATTGAAAAAATCGCATGCGATAAAAAATATGAAAAAATAAAAAAATGACACAAAATACTACAAAATCTATATTAACATCTTTATTAGCATATTTTTCGGCGATTTTTTTAGATTTTGTACTTTTATGCCAAGAGGGCATTCTGAATTGACAAAATTTGTCAAAATCGGTCCAGCCATTCTTGAGATATAAGCATTCTAGCTAACACCCCTTCCTTTGTATATATACATTTTATATATTTCGCTATATATAACCGATATATTTACTATCGGCATCTACGTAACGGTCAGAATTGACCTGTTCGTCTATTTGTGATTTGGCCGGGATTAAAAATATTCGCGGTTTAATGGCAAATTTGAATTTTATTAACAATAAATGTTGTGGCCTATTTAACCCACTAAATATTACCCGATGACCATCAAAATTGGAAGGCTTCTGTCCAGACCTAAGCTCTAGCCCCATGCTAACTTCCGCTTTGATTGGTCTATAATTGCGACCTGTAGAGCAACTGCAAAATCAGGAATTTTTTCAGTTTTTGGTCCTTTTCGACCCCTAAATATTATGCGATCATCTCCAAAAGAAATAGGGTTCTATTCTGACCCTAGCCCCACCTCCATTCTAAATTTCGTGAAGATCGGGCCATAATTGCGACCTGTAGAGTGATTACAAATTAACATGGACAGACGGACAGACGGACGGACGGACATACATAGCTAGATCGACTCAGCTCGTCGAGCTAGGAAGATCCATATATATTTTCCTATGTGGGAAATCAATATTTCGAGGTGTTACATGATTTTTGGCCCAATCAAACTTATAATACCCCCAACACATAGTGTTGTAGGGTATAAACAGACATACATAGCTAGATCGACTCAGCTCGTCGAGCTAGGAAGATCCATATATACTTTCCTATGTGGGAAATCAATATTTCGAGGTGTTACATGATTTTTGGCCCAATCAAACTTATAATACCCCCAACACATAGTGGTGTAGGGTATAAACAGATAAATTCGACCAGAAATTCGGCCGAACTTTTAGTACCCTCCAACATTTTGGAGGAAATTGGACATTTTCTGTCTGTCCGTCTATCCGTCTGTGGAAATCACACTAGCTTCCGAACGAAATGAAGTAGGTTGATAAAATTGTTTTCAAAAAAATATATATTATATCTGCAGGACTATTGGTATTGAAAATAAGCCATGTAGGTCCAAGTTTTGGACCTCCCGATATTCGGTATTTTGATGATTTTAGCGAATTCATTCACCGGAATAGTTTCAAATTTTGTATTTTAAGTTCGCAATGGATACTACATCCTACACCAGAAAATTGTCTATGCAGGTCTACGTCTTCGTATAGCCTTCATATAACGGTACCTCCCGATATTGGGTATTTTGATTTTATCGACATTATAACCAATTTTTTTTAAGTTTCGCATTTGATTATTGTAATGGTTTATGAAAAAAGTTACCTATGCAGGTCCACATCGTCGTTTAGACTCTAAAATGACGGCTACATTTGGTATTTTTAAAAATTTAACAGAATTTTTAACGAATTTTATTTATTGAAAATTGCTAAATTCGTTCCAAATGGTGGAGGATATTCAAAGTCCGAACTCACAGCTTTTTATACCCTCCACCATAGTATAGAGGGTATATTAAGTTTGTCATTCCGTTTGAAACACCTCGAAATACACATTTTAGACCCCACAAAGTGTATATATTCTTGATAAGCATAACATTCTATGTCGATTTAGCGATGTCCCTCCGTCTGTGGAAATTACTCTAGCTTCCGAACGATTTGAAGTAGATTGATAAAATTTTGCTAAAATGTATGTTATGCCTGCAGGACTTTTGGTATTGAAAATGGGCCATGTAGGACCACGTTTTGGTATAGCCCGCATATAACGGTACCTCCCGATTTTCGGTATTTTAATGATTTTATGGACATTTTTTCACCAGAATTGTTTCAAATTTGGTATTTGAAGTTTGTAATGGATACTACAGCCTATGACAGAAAATTGTCTGTGCAGGTTCACGTCTGCGTATAGCCCCCATATAACGGTACCTCCCGATATTCGGTATTTTAACGAGTTTAGCGACATTATTTACCGGAATTGTTTCAAATTCGATATTTTGATTTTTAGCTACATTCTTCACCGAATATATTTTTTTTAAGTTTCGCATTTGAATATTGTTATGGCTTATGGTGAAAGTTGCCTATGCAGGTCCACGTCGTCGTAAATACCCTAATATAACGGCTACACTTCGGTATTCTTAGGATTTTAACAGATTTTATTTTATTATAGATTTTTCATTTTTTTTTTTTTTTTTGAAAATTTCCAAATTCGTTACAAATGGTGGAGGGTATTCAAAGTTCGTCACGGCCGAACTTACAGCTTTTTTACTTGTTTGTTATCACACTATTCGACGAAATTCAATTTTTTCCAAAGTTGAAGAAAACTATAAAAATTATTATGAATGCATAGCTTAAAATATGAGACGCGTCTATTGGCTTTTAAAAAAATATTTGCGTTTAGATTCATTGATATCCTTGAATTTTAAGTGTAAATTGTTTTCGGCAATAATACTCACAAGGATACGGGGAATATTTTTGTAAGACAAAGCAAACCTCAGTCGAGTCATTGAAGTGGTCTTGTAGCTTCTTTTCTCGACAAACATTTAAAGTATTCTACAGTATTCTTCGTCATGAAATTTTTTTATAGGTCTCAGAAAATTACAAAACTCCAAATCTTATTTAGAAGTGCGGAAATCAGCAAAAACATGTTTTGGATTAAAACCTCTTTTAATTTGAGTTTGTGCAAAAAAAAGCTTCGTTTTAATGGGGATGACGTCAAAGACAAAATGTTCCACTTAAAATTTCTCTATATTTTGCCTAACACATAAATTCTGTATTTACATTATATGCCAAAAAAAAAAAAAAATATCGGCATCAAATTTGCCAAAAAAAAGTAAATAAATAAAATTTTTGTTTGTGAAACTATTTTGCATAAACTCAGATGGAGTGCGATTTTAACCACATAACGTGTTTTTCCGATTTTTGGCTTTATTGCAAGATTTGGAGCTTTAGTGTTTTTCTGTATTTTCTGTGACCAATAGTAAATGTTTATTATGAATAATTTTGTATAA